ACGTTTCCTGTAGGTCTTGACCAGGTTTGCACACACTGCAGCAGGGATTTTGGCCCACTCCTCCATACAGACCTTCTCCAGATCCTTCAGGTTTCGGGGCTGTCGCTGGGCAATATGGACTTTCAGCTCCCTCCAAAGATTTTCTATTGGGTTCAGGTCTGGAGACTGGCTAGGCCACTCCAGGACCTTGAGATGCTTCTTACGGAGCCACTCCTTAGTTGCCCTGGCTGTGTGTTTCGGGTCATTGTCATGCTGGAAGACCCAGCCACGACCCATCTTCAATGCTCTTACTGAGGGAAGGAGGTTGTTGGCCAAGATCTCGCGATACATGGCCCCATCCATCCTCCCCTCAATACGGTGCAGTCGTCCTGTCCCCTTTGCAGAAAAGCATCCCCAAAGAATGATGTTTCCACCTCCATGCTTCACGGTTGGGATGGTGTTCTTGGGGTTGTACTCATCCTTCTTCTTCCTCCAAACACAGCGAGTGGAGTTTAGACCAAAAAGCTATATTTTTGTCTCATCAGATCACATGACCTTCTCCCATTCCTCCTCTGGATCATCCAGGTGGTCATTGGCAAACTTCAGATGAGCCTGGACATGTGCTGGCTTGAGCAGGGGGACCTTGCGTGCGCTGCAGGATTTTAATTCATGACGGCGTAGTGTGTTACTAATGGTTCTTTGAGACTGTGGTCCCAGCTCTCTTCAGGTCATTGACCAGGTCCTGCCGTGTAGTTATGGGCTGATCCCTCACCTTCCTCATGATCATTGATGCCCCACGAGGTGAGATCTTGCATGGAGCCCCAGACCGAGGGTGATTGACTGTCATCTTGAACTTCTTCCATTTTCTAATAATTGCGCCAACAGTTGTTGCCTTCTCACCAAGCTGCTTGCCTATTGTCCTGTAGCCCATCCCAGCCTTGTGCAGGTCTACAATTTTATCCCTGATGTCCTTACACAGCTCTCTGGTCTTGGCCATTGTGGAGAGGTTGGAGTCTGTTTGATTGAGTGTGTGGACAGAGTCTTTTATACAGGTAACGAGTTCAAACAGGTGCAGTTAATACAGGTAATGAGTGGAGAACAGGAGGGCTTCTTAAAGAAAAACGAACAGGTCTGTGAGAGCCGGAATTCTTACTGGTTGGTAGGTGATCAAATACTTATGTCATGCAATAAAATGCTAATTAATTACTTAAATATCATACAATGTGATTTTCTGGATTTTTGTTTTAGATTCCGTCTCTCACAGTTGAAGTGTACCTATGATAAAAATTACAGACCTCTACATGCTTTGTAAGTAGGAAAACCTGCAAAATCGGCAGTGTATCAAATACTTGTTCTCCCCACTGTATATGTGACAACTTTATTCACTGATTTTATTTATCCAGGACAATCAGTTCTTTAGTCCCTGAGGACAATTCAGCAAAAAAAAGGGAGCAAATATCATATATTTGGGCCATGGTTGAGTGCATTCTTTTTGGAAGTATTCACACCTTTCGGAAGTATTTCATCATGTGATTTAAACTGAAGGGGACTAGTTTACTCAACTGTTGCCAAAAAAGCAAGTGTCAGATTCCCTGGCAACATCCATGCTCTCTAGAAAATCCCTTGTTAGCCCATAGTGTTGACAAAAGACAAGTCGCTGAATCAAAACATGCATCAGAGCCTGAGTTTTAATTAATGTCATAAAAAATGCTTAAATGGGTTAAGGTTATAGGCTTATTTTCCTTAATTAATGTTAAGCGTTAACCATTTTATTATTACCGAAAACTATGAGTTAAGGCAGGTGATTATCTGCATGTAATGCCCCAAAAATGGTCAACATGTCCCATTGTTAGACAGAAACATTTTAGTAATTTAGCAGACGCTCTTATCCAGAGCGACTTACAGGAGCAATTAGGGTTAAGTGCCTTGCTCAAGGGCACAGACAGATTTTTCACCTAGTCGGCTCGGGGATTAGAACCAGCGACCTTTCGGTTACTGGCACAACGCTCTTAACCACTAAGCTACCTGCTGCCCTGTGACTGCAGCTCCATGGTAACATAGTAATCTGTGGCAGGCCTGTTGACTTAGATATTTCCTAAGGCCCACAGTAGACTACCAATTAAGAGAAAAATATGTCTTAGTGTGTACTTAGAGTATATTCTCACTGCAAGAGATTCTCTAATGTTTTAGAGAAAATACCCTCGGCTCGACCTTTTACAGTAATCTTGCAAACTTGTCACGTCTCCTGTGCCACCTCCGGAGGTCGAATGTAAACAGAATTGTCTCGTGTAGCCAAATGCTCCTACAGTAAAAATCTTAATAGCGGAGCAATGTTTTTGAAACGGCAGAAACGTCTAGACATTTTCTATATTTGATGTTTTATTTGAACTTACACTTCAAATTCAGTAATATTTTGCGTGGCTACACAAAAAGTGAAAACGTCAACCGCAGCCGCTATCAAGCCATCTACTAAATTACCTGAATAAATTATGAAACTGATCATGACTAATTTAATCCTAATTCACTGCGATTGTTAGTAAAATGCAATAATACCTTATATTCCAATCACGAATAATATGTGTTTCATGAACACTCTGCTTCTAGCCTACCTTGTCCCCACTCCCTTTTCTGATGTGCCAAAAGATAATGTATGCTAACCAATACTTCAGGTCAGTATGATCAATGATCATGCATAAATATATTGATATGCATGATGTGTGTGTTGTACAGTAGTAGACCTAGCTGAATAAACTGTGTGTGTGACCATCTCTCCCTAATACTTCACAATATGTAGATTTCTTCAACTACCAAAAACAGACTTTTATCCAGCTGAAGCGATACGGTGTGAGTTTTACTGTAGACCTAGGTAGGCCTACATAAACTGTACGTGTGTGAGCATCTCTCCCCCAATATACTAACTTTTTTTATTTACTAATTTGGTATCAGCGTTGCTGGCTTAATTAAAAACAGTTAATCTGATGGATTTTGGATGTACTTGTCTTATTTATTGGTGCGAGGGCCAACTTTACCATATTATCCTTACGCACCAAGTCTCATTACTTCAAACAATGTGAATTTCGAATACAAAATCATTTGTTTTATGGCTTTTTATTCGGTGGCTGCATGAAATAGCAAAAATAACGTGAATTCAGCGATGACATTACTTCATCTTTGTTACTCCCTGATGAAACAGTAACAGGCAGCGTTGTTGAAAATAGATTCCACTATCCGGACTTGAGCAAGTGCTCGGCTCGTTCTCCATGCTGTGTGCACCTGTATGCGTGCTGAAATCTACGGCCACCGTATAGCACGGCCCAAAATGGCTTGAAAAGAGTGTGTCCCAAGTAGCTCGCAGTTATCAGTGTCTTTGGTAGCATTGTCGAAGCAACGGTAATTGTAGCAAAAAAAATATCTGGTGCTTTACAAGACTGCTGCTGGTAACAAGTCTAGTGAATCCGAACGGGCCCTTATTGTCTAGGTAGTGTTAGTTGTTAGTGTTAAGTTGAGCCTTAGGGAAAGGTTCATAGTAGAGGTGAGAGTTAGGATCAGGGAAAGTGTTAACACAAGGACGAGTATTGGGTTGTGAAGTAATGCTCAGCACAATGGTTAGGGTGATTGAGGTTGAGTCAAATAAAAAAATAACACTCAAACATCCCAAAATCCTGTCAGGGTTAGCTACATAAACCCAGTGTGTGGATGAGGGGTGTGAACATTTAAACGTTAACATTTAAATGAAGTTGGGATCCTTAACATTAAGAAAAATCCCTAACCGAAAAACGATACTTTTGTATTTTTTCCCCCCACTTAATTAAAATCACAGTTCAGTTATCACAAAACAAATTATTTTCTGTGTTATAGCCAATAGGCTATAAAGGTCTGGGAAAGTTGTGTAATTCAAATAAAACCAGAGGAAGAGGTGAACTTCAGGCTACTTGGTGAATTTGTAAGGCATGCAAGACAAGACATTGCAAGATGCAGATTACCAAAACATATGAGCACGTTTCTGCCTGCCGCTCCTCTCTCTCCCTTGAGCTGGCCTGCCTGCTCTGTCTCTTCGCTAATGATGCAAGTGTGTGTTTAGTCTTTGGTCTGTTGCGTGTAGAATATCCTAGCCTATTCATGGCACCGATGTCGTCAGGCCAGTCTTGCGGGTAGCCTACTCTTCGTTTTTGCCTCATATGAAATTACAATTACAATAGGCTACCGGTAGCCTGTATTGATGACACTTTTCAGACATAATGGAAAGTGGCCCCTTGAAAGCGCCTTCGGCTACAGCATGTTTGTTTGTCTGTCTGTTAGGGTAGGCTACACTACGGTTTTAAAAATGCAGACACAAAACCTTCTCTGGTGATATGAACGGACATTTTACTTGTCTGTAAAGGAATGCCGCTTCTGAAGCGGGACTCAAATCCAACACTAGGCAACCAGAACTGTCAATAAAATTATCTCGAGCTGCTGCGCGCAGACCACTCTCCTAAGTACTTTAAAGTTTGTTAAATACAGTGACTTACCAAGACACTTAGTAGAAATAAAACCCATCTAGCTACCATACCATAAAAAAAAGCAGAAAAAAACAACACAGCAGCACATCAATCAGCTGCGTTAATTGTTGTTAGGGAAAAAAATACAGAACATTTTACACCAAAGCCTACTGTCTGAAAAGGTACAGACCTGCCAAGAATGGCACTTTTTTAAATTGTTTGAAAAGTTATCAATTGTTGCTATCGACATGTTACTGTAGCTGCATTCTATGTCTGTAAAGGGTTGCGGTAGATATAACGTCATTGCCCGGCCCTAGCAGGCATACTACATAATAGGACCATTATTCTGCATTGTAAATTGACGTGGAATTGTATGATTTTTTTCTTAAAGTTAACGGCAAAACTATAAAGAAATTAATGAAAAAAAGCCAGTTTAAACGTTAAGCAAAATTGTCAATTTGTCACATCCCTAGTGTGGATAGTATATGGATAATGGCTAGTAAGTGGGTTAGCTTAGCGTTAGCATTGGCGCTCTTACTTTGGGCTGTGTCCCAACAGGAGACGGAGGGAGGGCAGGTCTCCCTTGGCAGCAGCATAGTGGACAGGCAGGGCCCCAGTGTCTGTGGACGCCCCGGTGTCCGCCTCCCCGCTCTTCAGCAGCCAATCTGTGATCTCGTGATGGCTGAACCGGGAGGCGAGGTGGAGAACGGTGGCTCCAGAACTATCCCGGTCCTGTGAAAGAGGAAAGACACAGGAAATATCAAAGTCAGGTTTCACGACTTAATGCCGATCATATTAATTTAAACATTAACATCCTGAGTAGTCTTGAATCAAAGTTCACATTGATCATCAGTATGCTCTGTATTCAAGATAGCTTTAAGGAGTAGACACAAGTGGTTGAAAAATATACAGTACCAGTCAAAAGTTTGGACACACCTACTCATTCAAGGGTTTTTATTTTATTTGTACTATTTTCTACATTGTAGAATAATAGTGAAGACATCAAAACTATGAAATAACACATATGGAATCATGTGGTAACCAAAGAAGTGTTAAACAAATCAAAATATATTTTAGATTCTTCAAAGTAGCCACCCTTTGCCTTGATGACAGCTTTGCACATTCTTGGCATTCTCTCAACCAGCTTCATGGGGAATGCTTTTCCAACAGTCTTGAAGGAGTTCCCACATATGCGGAGCACTTGTTGGCTGCTGTTCCTTCACTCTGCGGTCCAACTCAACCCAAACCATTTCAATTTACATTTTAGTCATTTAGCAGACGCTCTTATCCAGAGCGACTTACCAGAGTGCATACATAATTTTTTTTTTTTAAATGTCATACTGGAATCAAATCCACAACCCTGGCGTTGCAAATGCCATGCTCTACCCAACTGAGCTACATCCCTGCCGGCCATTCCCTCCCCTACCCTGGACGACGCTGGGCCAATTGTGCGCCGCCCCATGGGTCTCCCGGTCCCGGCCGGCTACGACAAATCAAATCAAATTTTATTGGTCACATGCACCGAATACAACAGGTGCAGACATTACAGTGAAATGCTTACTTACAGCCCTTTAAACCAACAGTGCATTTATTTTAAACAAAAAAGTAAGAATAAAACAACAACAAAAAAAGTGTTGAGTAAAAAAGAGCAGAAGTAAAATAAGTGACAGTAGGGAGGCTATATATACAGTAAAATAAAGTGACAGTAGGGAGGCTATATATACAGGGGGGTTACTGTTGCATTGTCAAGTGCGGGGGCACCGGCTAGTTGAGGTAGTTGAGGTAATATGTACATGTGGGAGAGTTAAAGTGACTATGCATAAATACTTAACAGAGTAGCAGCAGCGTAAAAAGGATGGGGGGGGGGGCAGTGCAAATAGTCCGGGTAGCCATGATTAGCTGTTCAGGACAGAGCCTGGAACCACTGCGCCACTCAGGAGATTGGGTTGAGGTCGGGTGATTGTGGAGGCCAGGTCATCTGATGCAGCACTCCATCACTCTCCTTGGTCAAATAGCCCTTACACAGCCTGGAGGTGTGTTTTGGGTCATTGTCCTGTTGAAAAACAAATGATAGTCCTACTAAGCGCAAACCAGATGGGATGACGTATCGCTGCAGAATGCTGTGGTAGCCATGCTGGTTAAGTGTGCCTTGAATTCTAAATAAAATCACAGACAGTGTCACCAGCAAAGCACCCCCACACCATCACACCTCCTCCATGCTTCACGGTGGGAACCACACATGCAGAGATCATCCGTTCACTTACTCTGCATCTCACAAAGACACGGCGGTTGGAACCAAAAATCTCAAATTTGGACTCACCAGACCAAAGGACAGATTTCCACCGGTCTAAATGTCCATTGCTCGTGTTTCATGGTCCAATCAAGTCTCTTCTTCTTATTGGTGTCCTTTAGTAGTGGTTTCTTTGCAGCAATTCGACCATGAAGGCCTGATTCACGCAGTCTCCTATGAACAGTTGATGTTGAGATGTGTCTGTTACTTGAACTCTGTGAAACATTTATTTGGGCTGCAATCTGAGGTACAGTTAATTGCCGATTTCTGAGGCTGGTAACTAATGAACTTATCCTCTGCAGCAGAGGTAACTCTGGGCCTTCCTTTCCTGTGGCGGTCCTCATGAGAGCCAGTGTCGTCATAGCGCTTGATGGTTTTTGCGACTGCACTTGAAGAAACTTTCAAAGTTCTTGAAATTTTCCAGATTGACTGACCATGTTTTAAAGGAATGATGGACTGTCGTTCCGCTTTGCTTATTTGAGCTGTTCTTGCCATAATATGGACTTGGTATTTTACCAAATAGGGCTATCTTCTGTATACCACCCCTACCTTGTCACAACAAAACTGATTGGCTCAAAAGCATTAAGGAGGAAAGAAATTCCACAAATTAACTTTTAACAAGGCACACCTGTTCATTGAAATGCATTCCAGGTGACTACCTCATGAAGCTGGTTGAGAGAATGCCAAGAGTGTGCAAAGCTGTCAAGGCAAAGGGTGGCTACGTTGAAGAATCTAAAATATTAAATATATTTTGATTTGTTTAACTTTTTTGGTTACTACATGATTCCATGTTTTATTTCATAGTTTTGATGTCTTCACTATTATTCTACAATGTAGAAAATAGTAAAAATAAAGGAAAACCCTGGAATGAGTAGGTGTGTCCAAACCTTTGACTGGTACTGTTCTGAAACTATCGTTGTAGAGATATACACTGAGTGTACCTGCTCTTTCCATGACCGACTGACCAGGTGAATCCAGTTTAAAACTATGATCCCTTATTGTCACTTGTTAAATCCACTTCAAATCAGTGTAGATGAAGGGGAGGAGACAGGTTAAAGAAGGATTTTTAAGCCTTGAGACAATTGAGACATGGATTGTGTATGTGTGCCATTCAGAGGGTAAATGGGCAAGACAAAAGATTTAAGTGCCTTTGAACAGGGTCTGGTAGTAGGTGCCAGGCGCACCAGTTTGAGTGTGTCAAGAACTGCAACGCTGCTGGGTTTTTCACACTCAACAGTTTCCCGTGTGCATCAAGAATGGTCCAACACCCAAAGGACATCAGCCAACTTGACACAACTGTGGGAAGCATTGGAGTCAACATGGGCCAGCATCCCTGTGGAACACTTTTCCACACCTTGTAGAGTCCATGCCCCGACGAATTGAGGCTGTTCTGGGGCAAAAGGGGGTGCAACTCAATATTAGGAAGGTGTTCCTAATGTTTTGTACACTCAGTGTAGGGTAACCCTGATAAATACTTTAAAATATGTTAATCTATTATCTTATTTGGGTATCAAGTGTTTGCACCAGAAACCACTTTCACAAAACAAGTGATGTGTGTCAAGGATGCTCTGAAGCGATGTCAGTGACCCGCTGACATAGTGTGGAAACCAACAAGGAGCACCCACTGTGTCAAACCTCATCTAGATTACATGACTAATGGTAAGAGAGACCATATACAAATGTCAGCCAATTCACTTATCACTTACACTCTTTGTGGTGGTTGTATGGTCAGCCAGCCACTCAAGCCTATCAGTGAATGGTGAACATACACTGAGTGTACAAAACATTAGGAACACCTTCCTAATATTGATTTGCACCCCCCTTTGCCTTTAGAACAGAAAACATTTTCCTTCTTTAACCTGTCTCCTCCCCTTCATCTACACTGATTGAAGTGGATTTAACAAGTGACATCAATAAGGGATCATAGCTTTCACCTAGATTCACCTGGTCAGTCTATGTAATGGAAAGAGCAGGTGTTCCTAATGCTTTGTACACTAAGTGTATGTGGCGGTAATGAAGGGAGCACTTATTAGGCTACTCCTTTTACTAGCACTAGTTTATTGAAAAGATAAATACTGAAAGGGCAAAGTAGTAGTAGTAGTAGTAGTAGTAGTAGTAGTAGTAGTAGTAGTAGTAGTAGTAGACATTCCATTGGTTTGGGGAGAGTAACCGCTCATTATCCCCCAAATATGTTGTTGGACGGTCTGTCATGAGGGTTTAGCTGAGCTTATTCAAGGAGGTGATTTGCATAGCATTAGTAAGACTGATGGCATAAAGGTCATTTCAATGTAAAAGACCCATGAGCACCAACATATGAAGTTCATAGGAGCATGTCAAATTGGGTGGCAAATGAAAGCTAAGAGTCTATTTATTTATTTATTAAGGCATATATAAATTTTTCAACCATTTAACATCCTAGGAATAAGCAAAGGCTTTCTGGTCAAACAGATGGAAAAGGGATCTTAGAAAACATCTACCAGAAAAAGTCTTAAAAAGGTATAATGTTGAAGTAAAGACCCCTGCCAACTAATTTCAACAGATATTTAGTTTGAGAAATGTTACTGCCTTCTGTAAGTTTAAGAAACATTGCCTTGTGCCTTAATTCCATTACCAAAAACCCACATATCTTTTAAGATAGTTTCACATTTCTCTCCCTCATGAGGGAGGATATTGAAAGTTCACAGAAGTAACAATTAAAGGCAGACCTATCAATTAGTTAGTGTTTTTACTGATATCATTTTGGTTTATTAATTATAAAAGTGATTAAAAATTGAATTTCAGAAAAAATTGGTTATGGAATTTCTGCAAATTTGATACCATTCCCCTCTCCCTCACAGCCTCTCTCGCTCCCGCTCCCTCCCAGCCCTTCTCCCTCTCCCAGCCTCTCTCTATTGTTCCTTCTGTGTCTGACTCTGCTCACACTGTTCAAAACCAAAGCATGAAAAAAAACTCAGCACCATCCTTTCTTTCCCTGACCAGCAGGCACTCCCCTTCCTTTGAAGACTTTCCTTCCAACTCCTGACTCTCACACACACACACACACACCCACCCCTAATCCCCCCCAAAGGGTGTTTTAATTTTAATTAAACTATGTTACCAAACTTTGCATCTGCACAGTTCTTCCAGTAAGTATTTTTGTAAAATGTTCAGTGTAAATTGTTAAATGTAGTCCTTGTGCATAGAGTTGTATGGTTTGTTAAACTTTGAAATCAATGGTTTTTGTTTGGCATACATTTTAAGTGAAAAAGTATACATTGATTTGCATTTTAATGAGGGAAATAAGTATTTGACCACTCTGCAAAACATGACTTAGTACTTGTTGGCAATCAAAGGTAAGACGTTTCTTGTAGTTGGCCACCAGGTTTGCACACATCTCAGGAGGGATTTTGTCCCACTCCTCTTTGCAGATCTTCTCCAAGTCATTAAGGTTTTGAGCCTGACGTTTGGCAACTCGAACCTTCAGCTCCCTCCACCTGATTTTCTATGGGATTAAGGTCTGGAGACTGGCTAGGCCACTCCAGGACCTTAATGTGCTTCTTCTTGAGCCACTCCTTTGTTGCCTTGGCCGTGTGTTTTGGGTCATTGTCATGCTGGAATACCCATCCACGACCCATTTTCAATGCCCTTGCTGAGGGAAGGAGGTTCTCACCCAAGATTTGACGGTACATGGCCCCGTCCATCGTCTCTTTGATGCGGTGAAGTTGTCCTGTCCCCTTAGCAGAAAAACACCCCCAAAGCAAAATGTTTCCACCTCCATGTTTGATGGTGGGGATGGTGTTCTTGGGGTCATAGGCAGCATTCCTCCTCCTCCAAACACGGCGAGTTGAGTTGATGCCAAAGAGCTCGATTTTGGTCTCATCTGACCACAACACTTTCACCCAGTTCTCCTCTGAACCATTCAGATGTTCATTGGCAAACTTCAGATGGGCCTGTATATGTGCTTTCTTGAGCAGGGGGACCTTGCGTGCGCTGCAGGATTTCAGTCCTTCACGGCGTAGTGTGTTACCAATTGTTTTCTTGGTAACTATGGTCCCAGCTGCCTTGAGATCATTGATAAGATCCTCCCGTGTAGTTCTGGGCTGATTCCTCACCGTTCTCATGATCATTGCAACTCCACGAGGTGAGATCTTGCATTGTGCCCCAGGCCGAGGGAGATTGACAGTTATTTTGTGTTTCTTCCATTTGCGAATAATCGCACCAACTGTTGTCACCTTCTCACCAAGCTGCTTGGCGATGGTCTTGTAGCCCATTCCAGCCTTATGTAGGTCTACAATCTTGTCCCTGACATCCTTGGAGAGCTCTTTGGTCTTGGCCATGGTAGAGAGTTTGGAATCTGATTGATTGATTGCTTCTGTGGACAGGTGTCTTTTATACAGGTAACAAGCTGAGATTAGGAGCACTCCCTTTAAGACTGTGCTCCTAATCTCAGCTCGTTACCTGTATAAAATACACCTGGGAGCCAGAAATCTTTCTGATTGAGAGGGGGTCAAATACTTATTTCCCTCATTAAAATGCAAATCAATTTATAACATTTTTGACATGCGTTTTTCTGGATTTTTTTGTTGTTATTCTGTCTCTCACTGTTCAAATAAACCTACCATTAAAATTATAGACTGATAATTTCTTTGTCAGTGGGCAAACGTACAAAATCAGCAGGGGATCAAATACTTTTTTCCCTCACTGTATGGTAGAACAGCCAGAGAGAGGAAGAGAGATGCTCCATCTTTCCTCCTTTGCCCTTAACTTCCTTTTCAGACCTTTTGAGACGTTTATGCAAATCTATTTGAATGCAATCACTTTTTGACAGCACTCTTTTTGATTTGAACGAAACCTTCCATACATATTTGCCCATTGTAGAAGTACTTAGAAAGTGAATTTTTGGACCTGAATGCCAAAACATTCAAGAGATAAAGGTGCTCAATGTTGACCCATTTTACATACCCCACCATACCATGAGACATCCATGTCTTCATCACCGGAAAATATAAACGGTTGAGATTGATATCATTTAAACGCTTACAAACAGGGTTGTCAAACTATTTTATACATGTTTTTTATGTGAATTCTCTAAAAACGTGTAAACTTCCGTTTTTTTCCCCCATATTCGAATATGTTGTAGCTTAGACACTAATTTACACCATCTAAGGTTGTGTTGTGCCCGCTATCGGTTTGAAAACTTTGAAAATGTACCACAAAGATGGTTGGAGGTCCACACATCAGAGAATGTTGACTAGAATAGGAATATCTGTTGTTTTAAATTATACTGTCAATCCTCCATAGGAAACCTATTGAAATCATAGAAATATAGATAATAGACATGACGATTTAAGTTGACATTCGACGTGGGTGGATCAGCGGTCGTGGTAATTAGAAGTTTCAATTTCAATTCAATTTCAAATGGTGTTCCAGCTAAATTTCAGTGTTCTGAAGGGATAGGTCCATTCTATGAATTATATTTATATGATTGAAATGACACCCACCCTACATTCAAGATAATGTTGTGTCTCAAGCCATGGAAGGCAAGACACAAAAACCTCAGATGATGTGAAATAGGGTCTAAGCTAAAACATATGCTTATGAAAAAAAACCCAGAGTTTGCACGTTTTTAGATCATTTACGTTAAAGGTTTAAAAATGACAATTTTGATTAAAGAATGTTTTCAAGTAATAAAATAGTTTGACAACACTGTTTGTAATCTTTTAAATGATATCAAACTCAACCGTTTATATTTTCCAGTGATGAAGACATGGATGTCTCATGGTATGGTGGGGTATGCAAAATTGGTCAACTTTGAGCACCTTTATCTACTGATCGATCCCGCATTGTTATGGCCGCATTTTTGCCAAATTGGTCAGTGAACAAAGCAGTGTGAATGCCAGTGTCTTTCAGTCCTAGTCCAGACTAAGTGATTGGAACATGGTGAATAGAGTTATCGAAAGATAAGTAATTAACCTAATTCATTGTGCGGACAAAGATGTCAGAGCGTACCGCTTTCCAAACTTCTAATCCCATATGAATGTGCTTATATAGGGTTTTGTCCCTTGTACAGATTTAACACTCTTCAAGTACCCAAATTAAGTAACACACAGCTACTAGAGTCTTCTAGACTGAGCCAAAACAATAAACTATTATTTCAGTGGTTACATTTCAAAACACTTATAAGAAGCAATGGAGGCTGCGGAGGGGAGGACGGCTCATAATAATGGCTGGAACGGAGTTAATGGAATGGCATCAAACACATAGCAAACCAGGTGTTTGATGTATTTGATACCATTCCACTTATTCCGCTCCAGCCATTACCACGAGCCCATCCTCCCCAATTAAGGTGCCACCAACCTCCTGTGATAAGGTACATTATATAGTTTACTTTCAGACATGTGTTTAGGTGACATTGGACTAATGGCGTACTCAATAATATTCAGTAATTCATAAGTCAAATGTCATGTCCTCAAATATTTCAATGAATCCTAAAGTTTGATACACAGTGTGGGTGTGTGACATTATAGTACGTGTTGTAAATTAATATTCAGGGAAAGTGACGTATGATTAGTATCGAATTATCAATATCGGTGCGCACCACTACTCTACTGCTAATAGATATGATGATTAGAGCTGAATACATCCTTGTGACTCTTTGACCGAGAAGGATTTTGTCAAATCTTGTAGCCAATGTCACTACTGACTCAAGTGTGAAATTACCCAGATGTATTATTGGGCTCAAATGCTGTTTTATGTGGATAAGTCAGACTTCTTGTTATGATTAATATAGAGGGAGGAAAGTGAATGTCTTTTTCACAAGAATATGACATTAATTATTTTCTTCTTTATATTTCCCAGAATGCTGAAGTGAGGCCAAACATTTATGTAACCTGTGCCATTGGGTAGACAGAGTTAAGTTTGTGCATGGAAGTCAATGCGCTTTTACCAAAATGACTTTTCCCCCACATTTTCCCAAATGGTCCAGTCCCTACACAGTCAGCATGAGGACCTTGGGTCTAGGTGACATTTTTCTCAAGCTGTTGTAAAAATCATATCAAATGAGTCCAGCATAGGTGACATTGTTGTATAGAACTAAGTACACTGGAATGCCTGCTGTGGTGAGTAATGATACACTTCCTTTTGAATGGGTATTGATGATAATTACAGAGTAATAACTAATAATAATCTCAGGTATTCTCAATGGCAACTGGTGTGCCTTTAGCCCTTAGATACCATAGCACAATTATCCTGACCATGTGTTGTTCATTGAGACAAAAGCCTGCACAAGCCTAAAGAAAAGTGCTGTAGTCAATGATGTACAGTATATAAACCCTGGATTGCTGATGCTATGTATTAGCCATTGAGAGGCTTTTGAATGGTATTCTACATTATTTAAATGAAATGTTTCAAGGACAAAATTGCATTTATATAATTATTTTATTAGTAATCTCTAAAAATGATACTTTAAGGAAAATGTTTTATATATTTTTTAATGTTTTATTTATATGTTTAGCTTGCATAATATAATTTTAAAAGTATGCATTAAGTTGTCTGTAATAGAATAAATGTGCAAAAACGAATGTAGATCTTTATAAAATGCAAAATATGTTTTACAATGGTGGGGGAGTGCCAAGATCCCAGCGCCCCCATCAGTCATCTAGTGTAGGCCTATATATAAATCATTGGGGGTAGTAGAGACAAGGGTTATTTACATTTACATTTTATCCTCTTAGGTCTACAATAAAGGTCAAAGAACTGTCTGAGTGACTAATTGTTTTATGCTGAAGTGGTGTGAAGAAGTGATTAATGTAATTGTCAGGCTGGAAATGTGGCGAAATGCTCAATTTGACAGTCAAGCAAATAATGACCTAAGAGAGGAGATGGGTAGGCTTGGGCCTAGTCCAAGATGACTACTCTTGGGAAACAATAGACCTAATTTATGTTTTTCAGGTCTGGGCTACAGGACTAATGGATTGGAAATTCAAGATACTGTAGGCCTCGACCTTGCTGCCCTAGAAGTTGTCCTATAGACCTCTGACTGGTCTTAAAATGATAACAATAAGCCTGTGTGATGAATGATGTTGGCTGTATTAGGGAACTATTAGCCTTTTAAAAAAGCTATGTAGGCCTACTGTAGGCTATGTAGCAATAAAATAACCCCACTCACCGCGGTACGACATCCACCTTGAGTTAATAGCCACTGTAAGCAGGCCAGGTTACCAGTGGCAGCAGCGTCGTGTGCGGGGCTGGCGCCATTATTCGCCAAACTGTTGCCCGGTAAGCCCGCTTCTTCCACGAGGAAACGTAGGCAAGTCAGTTTTCCAGCACGGGCGGCATGGTGGACAGGTGAGGCTCCGAGAAGGTCCTTTACGTCACTGTTCAGTACTTTCTCCGCAAATTGCACTTTCAGAGTTTGTACATCCCCCTGCCTTGCAGCAAGCAGTGTCCTCTCCACCACCATAACTGCGGCCCGACAACTCCTTCGTATTTATAAACGCACCATCTAGATGAGGTTTTAACCTCTATTTAACTATATTTCAATGAGCATGTATTTGGTCATTTTACTTCTTAAAAACAAATGTTGTTTTACATAATATCAACAGAATTGTCCAATTACGAGTCATTTTAGTAATTGAGTGAATAAAGTTAACATTATTCATGCATACTGGCAACCACCTGGTAACCTATAATTGCGCACGACGATCAAGTTAACCTGATGGCTGTTCCCCTCTGCCTCAACACGCATAACTCAAACACCTGTTGCAGGGATATTCCTTGGTCTTCTTATCGACTTCTTTCTTCATAATTTCTCTGTTTTGAGAACGTTATCGAAGTTGTAGGACATTAAGAATATAATTCCGGGCGGCTGTCTTGGATCCTGTATCCACGATTGCCGCAAATCGCGACATGGGACTCACCACTTGTTAAATAATCAATAGGCGGGAGGATCACTCCAGTAGTATGTTGGTCGCTAGAAATCGCCTCAGTAGTTAAAGGGACAGTAGCCTACGTCAGTGGTGGCCAACCCTCCCGGAGAGCTATATTGATGGTTGTGCAGGCTTTTGCTCCAACCTAGCTACGCCACTGCTCCACTGACTAATGAGATATTCATCAGCACCTTGATGAGCAGAATCAGGTGTGTTAGAGAAGGTTTGGAGCAAAAACGTGCAGCTGCTCTCCAGGAGGAGCGCTGACCATACCAAACATTTCAAATACTTGAGGTAGCCGAATATTGTTTATATAGAGTTTCAACTAAAAGGCAACTATTTTCTTTAATATTCAAATGCGAGTCTCAGAAAAACAAATAATATTTGAAAGTATTTTGAACACTTCTCAGAAAACCAAATAATATTTGAAGATATTTGAATATATGCAAGTTTATTTGAAAACAAATAAAATATTTATTTGATGGCTGCCAAATATTTGATGAAGAACCAACAACTACAACAGTTAGTTGAATTAGTCTAAATATGATCATAAGGACATGGTTTGGAGGGCTCTTATAAATTAATCGTAATATGTCCTATAGCCTAACTAAATATATGATGGAAATGGATCACCTCAACATTAGAGTAGACCACTTTTACAGCTTCAAAATGACTAACAAATATATTTTAATGAGTGAGACATAAGGTAATACAGCACATGACATCAAGTTCTTATACATGTGTAGTAACTTTGTGATTATTACAATAGCAACATTGTTACATAGGACTTTGGAAATTGCATAATAATGGAGTTATTACATAAGTGGAATAAAGAACAGTCACTATTCCTCTTGTGTAAAGTAGTTACAAAAACTCTCAGCTCTCATTGCTATGCAATTAAAATGCAATTAAGTATTATGTAACAACATGCTAATAAAATGTTGCTCCAAAAGTAATTACAGTTTTATTACAAAGGCACAAAAACAGTTTAATGTGAAGTGTTACTGAGAATGCTAACAGTAACAAAATATGGCTATTAAGTGTCAAAAGGAAACAAAATATTCCAAAACTGCCTTCTTGTATCAACTACAGCCAAGGTAGGTGGAAAATCATGTTAGGTTGTATTCTGAGTAAACTGTCCCTTTAAAGATGGTATAGTGTGTGTTTGAAACAAGAACACTTACCCTCAGATGGACAAATAAGTACAAAATAGTTTTTTCTAAGCATCCAACTTGCTGTTTTCAAATGGCTTTGAATTACTCTGCAGTATTTTCAGGTATCACAAAATTAATAACAGCTTTCAACATTTTCAGTGGCATGTTGAAAGAGTTAAACAGTAGTTGAAAGTCACAACTTATTTATACTTATCTGTACAAAATATTATTGGTTAATTGGTTTGACTTGATTATGTACACCTGGGGCAATGGACATTTACTAAATGTTCAGATATAAATGTATTGTGTAGATCAAATATGACTGTCAGATAGATTGGAATAGTATAGGAGATTGTGTGTGCCCTATTCATTCTATTTGATTTCTTTTTTCAACATGCAGTTCCAGATACAGCCATGCCATTAGTTGAAGGCAGCCAACCTAGTAGGTTCAGAAAAGTAGTAACTTCCTGAGATCTGTATTCAAAAGTAGTTGATTTCTGAGATCTGTATTCAAATAGTTTAGAAAAGTAGTCACTTTCTGAGATCTGTATTCAAATAGTTTAAAAACGTAATCCGTTTTTGGGATCTGTATTCAAATAGTTGTAGTCACCTCCAAAGTAACTATTTTGTTCCCCCGGAAAAAGTGTTACTTTCCACAAAGCATAGTTAAAACCTTATCAGGGGCTGGAGCTGACCACGTTTTAGTTTGTGATTGTGCTGGTCGAAAGATAACGTTGTAGCAACATGTATCCATATAAGGGGTTATAATGACTTTTAAAGCAGTTGATAGGTAGGCCTATCTATATTTTCATTACGAAATCCTTTCGCACATACTCGAGATAGACGTTCACAGGGATGATGACCAATATCACTATATAGTGGTTTGGTAAGGGGACACACAATTGCCCTAAGGCTAGGTAGCCTACCTACTGGGCACACACGTCAATTCAACGTCAATTCCACATTGGTTCAACGTAATTTCATTGAAATGGCGTGGAAACAACGTTCATTCAACCAGTGTGTGCCCAGTGGGTATGCTTTCTTGGCAAATGTTTTGAGTATTTCGGGATTTTAATTAAATTTTTGCTCATATCAAAACCATATCTTAAAGGAAAGATTCACCCATTTTGAATGTTATAGTGTTTTTGTGCATCTCTGAGCGATGTTTTATCGATTCGTATCTGAACTATTGCGGTTCAAGCAGGTAGAAAAACTGCTGGTATGACGTAGCATTGCGATAAAGCTGTTCTCACTACACTGGCAGTTAATATGAATACGACTTTTAGATCACAACTAATAATATCATACATGCTAGATTTCAATACTGGCCGATGTCATAATGCGGGAAGTTGTATTCTCTCGAATGAGCCATTGATCATACTTTTTTGCGATATTCCTACCTCGAGAACAGTGGCGGTCAGTGCCTTTTAAGATGAGGGAGGACGATTTTTTTTCATGAGCATGGACTTATTTCTATTACAGTATATTGGATGACTCTCATTCATATTCCATTCACCCAGTTCAATGTAACAGCGATAGATTCAGGCTACTACATGATACTCAAATTTTCCCTATATCCATCATGAGGTTGCTACAACCTAGTTTATGAATGAAAGTTTACAACGTAGGTGCACACAGGTCAAGAGACAAATTTGAGGCGACAGACAGCTGATATAGGGTGTAATCATTAGTCCAACAGTTGCAAACAAGAGTTTCTATTGGACAAATTCAGGTATATTTATCCCCATTTTGTTCCGTTTGATTCCTTTTAAGAAAGTTTTTTCAACAGAATCGGCGGAATGAATACACCCCTGATAACGCGTAAACAGAGTTAACTCTCATAACAGCCACGTTGTATTTCTTCTCCTCCCTTCACTTGTGGACTTCAATGCACAACAAATCAGCTGTATGTGACCAGGCGAAAAAACCTTTCCAAGCCAAACCTCTAAAAACAGCCTACATCGTTGTCACCATATTAGCTAAAGTAATGTCATAGTCAGCATAGCTAATAGAACTAACGCGTTAGTAAACCCTCTACAATCATGCAGTAACGTTAGTGTACAGTCGGTAAGCAATACATTTGTAATACCAAAAGCTTACCTTGACTTGGAAGAGTTCCAGTGTTGTGTTGGAAAGTCATAGCCAGCTAGCTAACATAGCATCCCTCTGTTTGAGCAGGGTGTTTCAGTAGGCTAAACTAGCTAGCTGCAATTGCTAGCTAAGTAAGTGAAACTGAAAGTGAAAAAAAAATTTACAACCGCTCTCTCTGTTTCTCTCTTGCTTCTCCTTCATTTTTGAATAAATTAATTTATTAAAAACTGTTCAACTATTGTCTTTCTCTCTCTTTGAGTCAACTACTAACCACATTTTATACACTGCAGTGCTAGCTAGCTGTAGCTTATGCTTTCAGTACTAGATTAATTCTCTGATCCTTTGATTGGGTGGACAATCAAAAGAGCTCTGATAGGCTGGAGGACGTCCTCCGGAAGTCGTCATAATTACTGTGTAAGTCTATGGAAGGGGGTGAGAACCATGAGCCTCCTAGGTTTCGTATTGAAGTCAATGTACCCAGAGGAGGACGGAAGCTAGCTATCCTCCTGCTACACCATGGTGCTACCCTACAGAGTGCTGTTGAGGCTACTGTAGACCTTCTTTGCAAAATAGTGTGTTTAATCAGTTATTTGGTGTGATCATATTTATCTAAAAAGGATAACTTTTTTAATGTTTTACTATTTTAATTTTTATGAAATTCACTGAGGAGGATGTTCCTCCCTTTCCTCCTCTGAGGAGCCTCCACTGCTTGAGAAATGTGTAATTTAACAAAGTTCACCACATTTTCCTATTTGTCTGCCTCTTCAATCCAGGGTGCATTGCATGGTGCCATTGCATGGCCGTTGCGAATGTCAGATTCCACTCGGCGAGGCACATAGATCTTCAGGTTGAACATGGTGAGATTGTAGACTCCTAAATTGATAGTGCAGTTTGTTTAGGCGATTTTACAGCTAACTAGCTACTTTACATGCTGGTATTGTCTTTGGTATTATTGTGTGTAGCTACATTTGCTAGCTAGCTCCCTAAATCAAATCAAATGTTATTGGCCAGATGCGCCGAATACAACAGGTGCAGACATTACAGTGAAATGCTTACTTACAGCTCTTAACCAACAGTGCATTTAGTTTTAATAAAAAAGTAAAATAAAACAACAACAAAAAAGTGTTGAGAAAAAAAGAGCAGAAGTAAAATAAAATAACAGTAGGGAGGCTATATATACAGGGGGGTACCGGTGCAGAGTCAATGTGCGGGGGCACAGGCTAGTTGAGGTAGTTGAAGTAATATGTACATGTGGGTAGAGTTAAAGTGACTATGCATAAATAATTAAC